CAAGACACTTGTATCCTTCAAAGGCCTGGGCAGAAAGACAGGTGAGGTCCTGAACAGCTGAAATCTGGGGCTGAAGGGATTGAGGGAACCCTAGGGGGCAGTGGGAACAGCCTGGGGATGCAAACAGTCAGGCATGAGCCCCAAGAGAACAACCTCTGAAGGGTGCCACTCACGCATCAAGTAGACCCCAAGGTCAACACCAGCAAGCAGAAAGCCCAGGAGGAATCGGAGGGCCATGACACCTGTGGAGGAGCCTGCAGCAGCCCCTCCCACTCCACAGGGGCCCACTAGCCCCAAGGTCAGTAGCACAATTCCTCGACGGCCAAACCTGCAAAATGGGGAGAGCCTCTGGTCATCCAGACTTCCTGGGGGAGGAGTAGCTGGGTGGGGCCCAGCTGCCCACCTCAAATGGAGGTATAAGAATGAGGCCCTGGAAAGCAAGAGCTGGACTGAAGCTAGAGAAGATGGGAAGGGATAGGGACCATGGGTAAGTGATGTCTGGCAACTGGGCACTGAGGTGAGGCTATGGTTCTGTGAGGGTGGGACCACTGACTCTTGGGGATAAGGCTATTGGTCAGAGATGAGGGCACTTCTCCATGGAAGTGAGACCAACCCAAAAGGGGATGGTATATTGCTGAAGAGACTTGGAAACACTGATTCTTGGGTATAAAGCTATTGGTCAGTGAGGGGTGGAGCTTGTCTTGCTCAAACTGGTCAAAAGAGATGGAGTTATTGACACACGGGGTTGGAGCTAATGCTCTATGTGATGAGACCATTGGCCACTTGTGCATGGTGATTGATAGTATTGGTCAGTGAAGATGGAGCTATTAATCTTATGAGACTGAGTAATTGATTTTGGAGAATGAGGCTATTGTTCCATAGGGTTAGGGCATGGGTCTATTAATCCATAAGAATGGTCAGTAGGAATGGGGCCACTAGCCAGAAGTTGGAGCCAGTGATCCAGGAGAATGGAGCTATTAATGCATGTGGTAGGGCTATTGATCAATGAAGATGATCACTAATTTTTGAAGATTGGACAATTGATCTTTGGTGATGGAGCCGTTGATTCATGGAGTGGGGATGTGAGTCCATGTGGGTGGGGCTATTGGTCAGTGGGGATGACTATAGAAATCCATGAGGATAATCAGTAAGGATGGGGTCGTGGGAGATGAGATCTCTGAGATGAAGATTGGGGTTCCTGGCTATTGGGAAGGGGGCCCTGATCCCTGAGAGTGAAGCTACTGACCCAGTAGTGTGGGGCCATTTTTCCATGGAAATGAACTTATTGGTTAATGAGGCTAAGGCTACTAAATTTAGGATATCGAATTATTGATCTTTAATGATGAGGCTATTATTTCATAGAAATTATGCTACTGGTCTGTGGGAGTGGGGCCAGTGATGTATGAGGATGGGCTATGGACCTGTGGGTTTAGGATCATTTGCCCATGGTGGGGTGTGACTACTGGGCAGTGAGGACAGGTATTAATTTTTGGGGATTAGATTACTGAATGTTGGGTTGCCTTTGATCCATGGAAGTTGAACTAGTTATCCATTTGGGTGGGATTCTGGATCAGTGGAGATGAGCCTAATAATAAATGAGGATAGTTCATAGTGATGGAGCATCTGGTCAGTGGTGATGGTGTCAAGAATCAGAGGAGACGGGCGTTTTGATTCCTGGGGAAACCATGGGTTGGTGGGGATGTGCTGTGGATCTTTGACATGATGTCATTGATTCATGGAAAGGGCTTTTTGATCTGAAAGGACCTGAGAGCACTGACAGCCCATGAAGATGAGACTGTTAATCTCTGGGGGATGCTAATGTGGTCACTGATCCATGGGCATTAGACTACTGACCCGTGAGTGTGGAGTCATTTGTTTGTAGAGCTGAACTGTTGGTCAGTAGGAATGGGACTGTTGATGTTTAGGAATGTCAAGGAGAGCTCAGAGGAGGAGTTAGGACTTTTGATCTGTGGAGATAGGGTGTTTGGTCAGTGAGATGGGGCTTTGTCTTTGGAGAGGAGACAATGGAGATGGGATGAGGAATGGGTGGGTATTCCCTTGTGAGGAAGAGATATGGAATTATTTCTTGATGGGTAGTGAAGTTGAGCAGGGGTGGGGCTGCATGCTATTGAACAGAAATCCAGAAGACTGCTGAATCCAGCCCATCTTCTTCCACTTCTCACAAAGGGCAGCTGCTTGGGCTAGCCTCCCTGGTGCCTTCTCCCCTTTCCCCTCCTGTTCTCAAGGCAGCCCTCACCTGTCGGCAGGGTAGCCCAGGAACAAGTAGCCGGATGCAAAGCCCAAGATGAAAAGGATCTGCTCCAGGATCACTTGCCAGCCCAAGTCACACACCAGATCCCACTGGGGATGTGAGAGGATGGAATGCGGGTAAGGCCCCGCACCTGCTAGTCGCTCTCAGCCCACCCCCAGACCCTTGGCCCAGCAGGCAGCCTCACCTGGCCGATGGCGTTGGTAGTGAGCACGGGCAGGCCGTTATAGTCCCAGTCCTTGAGACAATGGTTGAAGTCCGGCGGAGCGAAGCCGCTGCAGGAGGGGTCTCTACTGGTGGCGACGCGGCTGGCGGCGCTGGCTGCTAGGGCCGAGCTGGCGACGCTGACGCCGCTGGCGTTTGGGGGTTGCTCCCAGCCGGAGACGTTAGGAGCGAAGCCCCCGTAGTGGCAGTGTAGTGGGGGCGCCAGCGTGAAGATGGGGTCCGAGGCCATGCCCAGCGCCACGAAGAGCACCGGCAGGCAGCAGAGGCCGAGCTGCAGCTGCTGGCCGCCGCCCAGCGCCCCCACCTGGGCGAGCAGCGCCTCAAAGCTGAGGGGGCCGGGGGGCACGGCCAGCGACAGGCTGCTGCCCATCCCGTCGCCGCCCGCGTCGCCCTCCCCCTCCCGCTCGCGTTCGCGCTCCCGCTCACCCTGCAATTGCTCCGTGGGCACCACATCTCCGAGGGTCCCGACCTGCTGTAGGGGTTTGGGGGTTGCAGGAGAAGGGTGAAGAGGAGAAAACCGCAGAGGGAGGGAAGAGGGCGGGCGCGAGCAGCGAGGAAGACGAGCGGGCGGGGGATGCGCGGGAGGAAACTGCCAGGCGCTAGACCGGGGAGAGGGGAGGTGATGGCGTAGCCCTCAGGGCGCGGGCACTTACTCCATTGGGGCTAGGAGTAATCTCTACAGTGCTGTCGATTTTGCTGCCGCCCCCGCCATTGGGCTCAGGGGTCCCGGTAGCTACTCGGGGAGCCAGCTTGCCGATCGCAGGGGCCCTGCCGGCCCGCACCGAAAGGTTGCGCTATCCTGTGGCCCAGGGCCGAAACGTTGCGCTGTCCTCTGGCCCAGTGGTACGCCAGGTGCTCGGACACCCAGGCTGGAGACCCCGTTCTTGCAGCTCTGCAGCCGAGCACCTCCTCCTCTGCGATTTCTGCGTTGCTTTCCCCTCCCCTTCCTCCAGACTCTCCTCCCCTTCCCACGTCAGCAGAACCTTCGGTCCAGACTCTTCGTCAGAGAGAAAGGGGGGCCACGGCCCAGGGGAGTGTGGGGATGGGGCTCTGTCTCTGTTCCCTGGGTCTGCGGGCCATTGCGGTAAAAAGGGGAAAAATGCTGAAGGATAATAGTTAGCCCAGTCTGATGCCAGAGATTCCTCCTTTGCTTCCAGTTCTTCATCATCCATCCATCCACCCACCCACTCATTTCATTAATCAGTAAAATTTATTAAGCGTCTACTATGTGCCAGGCATTGTGCAAGGCTCTAGGTATGAGAGAATAGACAAGATCCACCCAGGAGTAGCTCACGGGGAGAAAGCCCTGTACACTGGGGATTCCAGGACAGGGCATGCCCATGGAAGGCTGGGTTGTGCACTGACTGCACTCAGCCTGTCTTCTGTCTTCTACAAGACCACTTCATCCAGCTTCACTGTGGTTGAGTCTTACTCATTTCCCAACAGCATTTGGCACGGTAGACCACCCCTTCCTCTAAACATTTTCTTCCTAGGCTGTTAAGTCCCACACTCTCCTTGTGTTCTCTTTTCTCCATTGCAGGCTCATCTTCACCATCATTTGTGTCTGCAATCCTCAGACGCATGGTCCTAGGACCTCTCTCATCTCACACTGATCTCACCCATGCTCACAGCTTCAAGCACCCCCAATGTAAATACAAACTTGATTCCCACACTTTCATCTTCAGCTCCCACCTGGCTTCTAAGCCCCAGACCCATGAAGACACCTCTTGTTTAACATTTTACAGGTGCATTTGTGTAAGATTAAACTCATGCTCTTCTCCCTGTATCTGGTTTTCTTCTAATGCTTCTTTCCTCAGTGAATAGCATCCTCTTCATCCAATTATGGCCAAATGCTCAAGTGATAGCCCTTAGAGTGCCTCTTCCTTACTGCACAATTAAATCTTTTACAAAATCCTGTCCGTTTTACTCTTATTGAGTTCTCAGTCTCTTCTCTCCAGCTTATCACCATTAGTCAACTCCCTGTTGCACAAACTACTTTAGCCTCCTAAATCCTCATTGAGGTTCTGCATGTACTGTATTTCCATTCCCTTCCCCTGTTATTTATAGTGCAGATGGAATCTTTTCAAAATGCAGATCTGTTCATGTCCCTTTCCTGCTGAATAGCCTCCAGTGGCTTCTCCTGTCAAGGTGAATGCTAATATTCTAGACACCTCACACATGGTCCTGCATGCCTGGTCTCATGCTCTCTGCACTCATCTCACAGGCCTTTCAGTTTTTGCAATGCCCTTGCATAAGCTGGTCTTTATGCCTATGCTTTTCCTCCCCCTCAGTCAAGTTCTCCTCCCCCTTTAGCTGGCAGCTCAAGGATATTTGCCTCAGAGAAGCCTTCCTGAGCTCCTTGAATTGCTACTCAAAGTGTGATGCACAGACCAGCAGCACCCATATCACCTGGGAGCTAATTAGAAATGTAGAATTGCAGGCTCTTGAATCATGACATGCATTTTTAACCAGACCCCCAGGTGTATGTATATTAGAGACACACTTCTTTAGAGTTGATGCCTAACAGGTACTTTATTCTCTAATTTCAGGTAAGGGATAGAAAGGAGTATCCTGAGCCTTAGACCGGAAATCCATTCCCTGTTCAGAAATTTTCCAAACATGGGAAACTCTCCAGTCCATTTAACAGCCTCCCCTACCTATTTCAGCATTTCTTCAGGATTTACTTTGGTACTGCCACAGCCAGTATTTCTCGGGGATTTTTGTCTGTGTCCTTGTGTCTGTCCTGGAATTAAAATCCCTTAACTTGATGTGGTGCTGGATTGTTCACATGACTGTCTTGTTGGGGCCTCACAACATGACCATTATGATCGTCCTCACAATACAGATGACACCAGGACTCAGACGGACTGGCAGGATTTACCCACAGACAGGTATATGGCAGATCTGGGACTTGCACTGAGACCTCTGACTCTAATTACAGGTTGATCTCTTGAAATTCTTCCTGGAGGATGATGGAGAATGGTCCATTTTAAGTCTTCAGCATGTAGGGGTGAATTTTGGTGGCCCCAGAATCTGGAAATGAGTTTTCTCTTAGTGAAAGGATAATGAAGGAACCCCAAATAGAGGAGGCATATGCATAGTGGGCACCAAGAGACTAAGACTCTGACTGAAGTCTGGGGTGCTTCCAGTCAGTCACTGTGCCAGAGCATCATCTTGGAGAAGCAGACCTGAAGAAATGGATCTGTGGCTTGGACTTCTTCCCTTGTGGTAAATAGCTGGAGTGATCTCCCACCTAGGCCCTGAGGACTGTAGACTTCCGACACATGGCCTTCATCTGCCCCTCAGCTCCTCTAAAAGACGGTGTGTCCAGACGGTCAGCAGGAAGCCTGGGAAGGGAGTTTAAGGGATGAGACCCCCCCTTGGGTGAACCTGGGGTGCCCAGGCTGGCCAGCTGCACTCTCCTACTGGGCAGAGCTGTCCTATGGCAGAAAGGTGAGGAGAGGCCTTCTGTTGGGGTGAACTCTTCAGACGACAGCAGCTTTAAAGGCTCTCATGTGGCTAACTTCTCCATAGGTACACCTCCCTAATGACATCACTTGACAATGAGGTCTTGGAGGAAAGATCCTTGGTCAGCAATCAGCATTAGCCTTTCCAGTATGCTAGTTCTCACTCTTCTTGATTCTCTCATCCTCAAGTGGTCCCAGCTCAGATACCACTACTCCCAATCACCCTGTCTGGTCTACTTCAATGGCCTCGCCCTCATCTGGTTAGTTCTTCATATCATCCAGTTTACTCCATTACCAGCAACTGTCAAATCTTTGGCAGGTTGTACTTTTTAAATTTACTTATTTTAACTGCCTCATTTCTATCAATCCCACCCCAATATACCTTCCCAACTGTGCCTGGCCCATCATGGGAGCTGAAACCTGCCAAATGCATAGCCATTGAAGAAACAGCAAAATTTCCATAGGTTTAGATGAGGGGCACTGTTCCCACACCCCTCCAAAAAAAAGCAGAGGCACGGAACCAGATAGCAGGGTTTATTGAGGCCCACCTCTCTCCTGCCTCCTGCGGAGAGGAGCCCTCTAGCCTCTTCCAGACCTTCACATTCTGGATGGCCAATATCCTGTCCTCACTCTTGGCCACCAGTGAGGTGCTGATATTCTAGAGCCAAGAAAAGCACAAGAAAGGGGCTCTGGGTGGCCCCTTGTTTCAGCCACCTAATTCTCTGGGGCCAAGCTTCCAGAGGTGGCTGGCAGTGCAGCAACCAAGAACCTCCAGCCCAGGTTGAGGGAGGAGAGTCCAGTTCCTTCCTGCCCCAGAGGGCCTGGCACCTGCCCCTGACAAGGCAGGGAATAATATTAAATATAAATAATTTATACAAAATGGCTCGTACAAAAAGCTGTGGGGTTGGGAGAGGAGATGCCTCTGTAGGACACTGAGATGACTGGAGGAGAGGATACCTGCACCTCTCCTATTCCCTACCACAGAGCCCTCCAGCCACCCCTGGAGCCGGAAGGGGCTCCAGCAGCAAGGGGAGGGGCAGAGCAGTGCCAAGGGACTCTCAGGGGGCCAGGCTGGTGAGCAGGGTGGTGAATTGCAGGGCCTGCCCTGCCAGCTGTGCCACACACTGCGCCATCTCCTGGGCTGCAGGGCTGGATGGGTAGCCCAGCGCAGCCCCCTTGACCGCCAGCACAGTGGCCCGCAGTGCCTGGCCCAGTGCTGTGCCAGCAGCCCCGACCTGTGCTCGAAGAGGGGCAGAGGCTGCCAGCCGGCCCAGGGTGTCCCCAACAAACACCAGGTGGTGAGCAGCCACCACTACCCGCTTGCTGTGGGGCACAAAGAGGTGTGGGGGCTGGTTGGCCTGGGTGCTGGACAGCAGGGCTGCCACAGCTGCCTGCAGGGCTGAGTAGTGGTTCTGACACTGCCCTGCGTAGAAGTGCAGGAGCTGCAGATCTCCAGAAGACACAGTGGGCAGCTCCCCTGGGGACAGGGCCTCCTGAGGGCAAGAGGAGTGGTGAGTGGGAACGCTCCTGTTAGTGCCACTTGTTTTCACCTTTCCTTCTTCCTTCCCTCCCTTTGCTCCTCCTTCCTTTCCTGAGCACGATTCCTTTAGCTCTTACCTCCGTCCATCAGAAAATTGTCTCATGGCAAGTGGCAGGAAAGTACCCAGAGTAGATGTCAGACACATCTGAATTCAAACAACCTCAAACAAGTCTTTTAATTTCTTTGTTTTCTCATCTCTAAGATGGGGAATCTAGTACTCTATTGCCCAGTATAAACATAATATGAACCACATGTGCAATTAAAAATTTTCTAGTAGCCATGTTAAGGTAGTAAAAAGAAACTGGTATATTTTTTTCTAATTCCAACATGGTATTGATATAAAAATTATTTTGATATTTTTCATACAAAGTCTGCAAAACCTGGTGTGCATTTTATATTTACAGCAGATTTCAATTCAGACTAAGCCACATTTTGAGTGCTTGATAGCTGCATGTGGCTAGTGGCCCCCATACTGGGTAGTGCAGTTCTGGTAGCTGCCTCCTAGGGCTCAGGGCTGTTATACAGAACATAGAAAGGGCTTGGGGCAGAGCACTGCACACTGCGAGCACAAGGAGTACTAACAATGGCTATGATCAGTACTGACGCATGAGATGTGCTTATTTACACAGGGTCTGGCACTGGGCAAAAACCTGATAAATGGCAGCTGCTGTGATTAGGACCATTCTAGACAGAGTCAAGGAGAACATCTCACTTTCCTGAGGCCCAGAGAGATTAACTGGTAGCTTCTGACCCCCTAGCTTTTGTGGTGGAGCTGGGATTAGGTGCCAAGTCTCTTAGGAACCTAGGAATTTACAGTTTGAAGGAGCCTCAGAAGTCGCCTGGCCCCGCTCTGACCCACAGCCCAGAAACTTTCTGCTTCCCTAGCTGCTCGGTTTTCTGACACCTCTCCAACACATTCTTTCCTCTCTTTCTGAATTCCTGATATCCTTTTCTAAGTTCCAGCTCCTTCCTGTAGAATTCTAACCTCTCTGCTCCAGCTGTCCCATCTCACTGAGCTCTCACCCCATCCAATCTCTTTCCCTTGCTGGTTCAGTTGTGAATACTCTTTCTTCCAAGTTCCTGTCCCCCCCCCCCCACTGGCTCCTTCCCTAGCACCACAACAGGGTTACCTGCTGCTCCTGCGGCCCTTTCTCCGGCTGTTCAGGGTTCCCTGGGAAGGCCTCATCCAGTGGCCTAGATCCCTGAGCTCTGTCCATGCCCTGCAGGAGGGGATCAGAGTCTCAGGGAGCAGGGTGTGGTGGCCTCTATGGGCTTCCTGCCCCTCCTCTGCCCTCCCCTCCCAAGGTCTCTCCTGCCATCAGAGGCTGTAGCCCTTAAATCTAGGTCTGGGAGAGCTCTAGTTACAGGTGAGAAGGCTCAGGGACCCCAAGATGGGTTTAGAGGGAGGAATGTGACACTGCAACAAGTGGTGTGGCCAAGTTCTGGGATCCTAGGCCATAGGGTGTAGGGCCAGTGAAGAGGGGAAGGTGGGAAGAGAAGGAGGGCCTGCCTTTGGGCCCCAGGCCTCCCCCCACTCCCCTTGGTTCTCCCAGGGGCATTTCCAGTGGGGACGACCCAGGCAAACTCACCTTCAGGTGGACATAGTCATACTCCTCAGCCACGGGGATGCCCTCATACTCATTGTGGTGTCCAGCTGGATCATCCTCCACCTCCCCACCCTCTGTATCCCCCTCCACCTTGGGGCCTCTGTAGCCAGGCAGACAGGGCGGGGGTGGGGGCAGAGGCCGATCCTGGATGCTGCCTTTCCGGCCTGGAGCAGGAGAGGGAGCTGGGGAAAGGCTGGGGCCCTCGGGGACAGGTAGGGCAGGCAGAGGGCGTCGGGATAGGCTCTCAGCTGAGGGCAACCGGGGCCTGTGTGGGGCTGGGGGGCTTCTAGCCAGAAGCAAGGCCAAGGTGTCCAGGTCACTGCAGGCCGAAGCTCCTCGGGGGTCTGGAGAGGGGGGTGCTTCTGGCCCCAGCAGAGGCACGTCATAGATGCCCTCGTCAGTGCCCCCACCTTCCTCATGTGGTAGCAGCTCCTCAGGTGCTTCATACAGATTGAGCAGGGCTGACGCCCGTTTCAAGTTGGACGGAGCAGTGTAGAGGGGAGGCCCTGCTTCCCGGCCCTCTTCCCACTCCAAATCTGGCTCCAGTTCTGATGGTGATCGTGGGGCCAGAGGCACATCATAGGGAGCTTCCTCCTCTCCAGCGGGCTGTGAGGTAACCCGGCCCAGAGGGCAGGAAAGGGAGGCAGGGGAGTCATAAGGATCACTGGAGGGAACTCGGAGGGCAGTGGAGGGCACATCATAGACCTGGAGATGGAGTAAGAGCAGTTAGTTTCCCCTTGAGTGGTCTGTCCCTGCCCAACGTACACACTGCCTCTAGCCCTCACCTCCAAGGCGTCTCCAGGGGCAGGCAGCTGAGTCCCACTGCCTCTGGGAACCTTATAGATGGCGTCTGGGGAGGGTGGGCAGGGTCCAGCTGTTGGTCCTAAGGCAGGACATGGCTGAGCTCGGGGCGGCACCACATACACCTGGAGGGATCAAGACAGGTGGGCGGGTCAGGGGTGGAAGCCAGGGAATAGGATAACATATGCCTTGGAGAACCTGAGACACCTTCCAACCCCCTCCCTGTACCAATGGGGAAACAGAGCCCAGGAAGGGTCATCACATATGCTTCCTACAGCACAGTCAGTAGGAGCTGAGGTCTCAGGGCTCTCCAGGCTCAGAGTTGGGAGGATTCCAGCTCTCACCTCATGATCCTCACTGCTGTGCTCTGGGGCTGGATATGATGAGCCAGGCTGGGCTGGGGGCATCTGGGAGAGGCTGGGCTTGGGTGCTGGGCCAGGAGGAAGGAGCTTCACTCTGTTGGCGGGCACAATGCCCTGCTGGCCATGCAGGGAGCAGAGGCACCAGCCATCCAGCCCACCAGTGCCCTCCCTCTGCAGTATCCGTAGAACGTCCCCTCGGCGGAAGGACAGCTCCTGGGGGGACTCAGCTGTGTTGTCGTAGAGTGCCCGGGCCAGCTGGGCCTGGTGGGTGAGGTAGGGGTGGGAGGGCAGGCTTCACACCCATATCAGATCATGTCACCCCAGGTCCAAACACTTCTGAGCTCCCCATTTCCCTTAAGCTAAAACCCTAACTTCCTGACTGGGCCCTGCCTTGTTTCTAGCTTCATCCTCGGCACTCTCCCTTCTTTCTATTCCTTGAACTAGACAACTCCTTTCCCACCTCAGGGCCTTTGTACTTGCTGTTCCTTTACGCAGAATGCTCTTCCCCTGACTGGCCCTTTCTGATTCTTTAGTTCTGCTTAAATATCTCCTTGTCAAAGAGGTCTTTTCTTTGCTCTTCTCCCCACCCCATTCTGTGTTTGTCTTTACCCACTGTTTCTGCCATAATACTTTATATTAGTTCTCTATTTACTTTTTCATTATAGATTTCTTCCCTTATAGTGTAAGCCCTGTGAGAACAGGGCCTGCTATGTTCCTAGCCCCAGGCATAGGGCCTGACCTGGAATGAGTCCTGAATAAATGTATGTTGAATGAGTTTTCTCCAAAGACTCATGTACCAGAGGAAGTCCTGCTAAGGTCTCCCACAGGAGCTTCCCTGCTCCCCAGCAGCAACCCCCATCAGCAAAAAGTAAGATTAAGCAGCTGCAGACCCCACATGCTGAGTGGGAGAAACTCAGCCCAGACAGTGCCTAGGCATGAGGAAAACAGGAATGAAGCAATTGTTTTTTCTCAGTCTGAGCAAATAAGGTTCTACCACAAGAGGCTGAGGTTACCATGGAGAAAAATGTACATGCTCATGTGTGTGTGTATGTGTATGTGTGGAGGTAGGGCTGGCAGGCCAACCAAGAGCAAACATTTATTGGCCTGTTTCCAGTCCTGTCTAGTGAGGACATCTAAGAGTTTTCCTTGAGAGGAGCTTTTTTTTTGAGAGCCACATGGCTCGGGTAGTAAGTCAGATACCAAGTGCAAATTATGTATCCAGATGCCATAAATGTTTGCACTAATAATCTCATCTCATTTAATCCCCACAACAACCTCATTAGGGAGGTGCCATCATTATCCCCATTTGGAAAGGAAACTGGAACAGAGAGGTTAATACTTTGCCCAACAACATACAGCTGGTGCAGTTGATGGAGTGTGATTTGAACCCCATGCTGTTTGATTCCAGAGCCTGTACTCAATCATTCCTTCACCCCTCTGATGCCTCTCCACAATCACAAACACAAGGAACTATTTTTTTCTCCTTAAATTAATAACAGTGGTTAAGTTGAGAGGGTCCATGACTCAAACATGACTCAAGCACTTATGAAGTCTTCCTTATATCCAATTTCCCTTTGCTAGTCATTCTTCATAGGGCTCTGGTTCCATGAAGTCTTTTGGTGGGATCAAGTTTAAACTACTCACAATATTGAAATATACCCCACTTCAATTAGGTTTGGTAAGTAACTGTGCCCTCTGGCAGGATCCCAGGTGGTGTTTACACAGTGGTGGCAGAGAGCAGGCAGGCAGTTAGGTATTTTTGAGCAGATAACCATGTGGGCTGACTCATCCATTAAAAAAAATCTCAAGCTAAAGATCTCTGGCAGGCTGCATATGGCCACCAGGCCCTGGGGAGAAGGAAGCCCTGCTCTGCCAGCATGAGTGTATGTTCCTCTTGGCCAGTGTTTCCCTCAGAAGGAGAGGTTGCCCAGCCTTTCATGGCAGGGTGATTTTAAAGAGAAACCAACTTCTCTTGCCTGATTTCAAACATATCAAACTATTTTCTGATTATATTTTGGCTTCTATAGGATATTGTTCCATAGAAAGAAAACATGGTAGCCAGATGACAAATTCCTGGTTAGCTCAGTGCTTTTCTTTCTGACTGTGAATTGATGATTTGGGATGTAGCCAGGTGGATGACAGCACAGTTCTGAGGAAGATAGACCTAGGTTTGAGTCCTGGCTTTGTCCCTTTCTAGCTGGGTGACGTTAGGTAGTTTAACCCTTCTGAGTCTCAGTTTCCTCCTTTGTGGAACCCAGATCTGAATACCCATTTTCAGGTAACAGTAGTACTTCCCTCACAGGGGTTGTTGTGAGGATGGATGAGATAATGTGCCAAACAACCAGGATAAACCAGGACAAAGCTTAGGGCCAGCACAGGGCCAGTAAATGCTCAGTAAACATTAGCTGTCATCAGGATCCTGTGAGTTTAATTAGCAAAAATACTATCCCACCCACCTCTAGGTAAAAAGAAAAATCTACTTCCCAGGTCTACAAAGGTGCCCAGCTGACTCCTGAGCCAGCATCTTTATGTCAGAGTACCCCCACTATTGTCAGGACCTCCCCCTCTCCTTGCTCTGGGCTAGGGTCTTCTCACCATACAGATTGAGGCCCTAGAAGGGGTTTGGTCTGAGGAGTGAAAATCAAACTCGTCCTCGAGGGGTATGGAAGGATGTAGGAGTCATGCTTCTTTTTCCAGCCTCACAATCCTCCTTCCTAGAGTAATCATTCAAAGGGGGGCCAGAATGCGGGAGGCAGCCTCATGTTGCCTGGGAATCCTAGGGCCTATAGAGGAAAGAGTGGAAAGGGGACAGAGTTGCTTGGATTCAGATTACAAGGAATACAGGACAGAAAGCAGAGGTTGGGCTGTGGAGAGCTCCTCCCTTGTGTGAGGTTTGAATTCTGTCCAATGGGGCCCAACCTCTAGGCAATTGCAGAACCCAGGCCAGAGTTGCTGATAGACTGATTGATGATGGGTGGGGCCACCCCTGCTCTACCCCCCTCCTCAGGGGCCCTGCTGACTTATGAGGGAGTGGCTGCCTTAACAGGGGTGGCAGTGGGCCACACGCTTTCTGTAGGCCTCCTCCCACTGTCCCATCATGCCAGCTGTCTCTTCTCTTTGTCCCCAGTCCCCGGGAAGTGACCAGTGGCTGGCTGACACAGCCTCAACCTCCTCCCTCTATTTTCTTTCCAGGCCTGATCTCCCTCTTTTGCCCTATTTCCCTCATTTCCTCCATTCTCCTCTAGAGAAGGGCCTCCTTGGGCCCGTTGGCTTGTCCCATTTTTCTGGAGCCACCTCTGAACTTTCAGCCCCCTCCCAACATTTTGCTTACCTCCCAATCACTGGCCCCTGCCAACCACCGGTGTCCATTTGTTCCCGCCCATAAAAGAGCAGACAGTCTTGCCCCCTCCCCTCCAACTAGGGGCAACCTCAAGAAAGAAAAATAGGAGAATAGGGAGAGGGAAGGAAGAAGGGTGAACCCAGACCCAGAAGGAGCTAGAGATGACCGGGAAATAAACGTGAGAGGATGGGGACAGCCTTCTGGAGAAGAAAGGGACCAAGGAGAGAAACAAAGAGAGGGCAGAAATAAAAGTGACAGGTGCGCAGGGAGGATTGTGGAGGTCTCTAACCCGGTAGCTTCCTCTCCCGGGTGGACTCACCGACGTGGCTAAGGCCATGGCCTTGGCCTCCCGCGCTGCCCAATCCAGGCCAGGCTCGGCTTTGTGGACCTCAGCAGCGGCTGCCCGGCACCATGGGGGCGGCCCTAGCTGCGGCGCCTGAGTCGTGGTCTCCGCGTAGGTTGGAGGAGGAGAAAGAAAACCCACAAAACTCCCCAAATGGGAGGCAGCTTGGCGGGGCAGGAGGAGGGGCAGGGCGGGCCGAGGCGTCGCTGCGGGACTTCATCCAAGGGCGTGCGCTCTGTGCAGTCCTGGGGGCCGCCGGCTTGGCCAGGCCCGGGAGCTGCCTACCCTAGGCCGCGAAGGTACACCGGCTCCGCATGGGCCGAAAGCTCCCTTCCAGGGCCGAGGCAGGGGAGGAGGTGGAAGCTGGAGTTGTACTCGACGCCACTCCAGGCCTCTCAGGACAGCCCCAAGGGCTGGGAGAAGCCGGCGGGGCGGTTGAGCTGGATGGGCGAGTTTAGGCACCAACCCGCTCCACCCGGGGGCCGCGCGGCACAGCGGTGCTCCCAGGGCTGTGGTCGGGGCGGCCTGAGGCACTGCGGCTGCCCTGCTGCGAGGGAGGGTGGTGCGTGAGAGCGAGAACTGAGACGTTCGACTCTCGTCAAACTCGCCCAAGTTGGCAAAGGCCACCGAGAGCGTGGACGTTGGGCCGAGTTGCCCAAGTGGCTGCTTTCTGCCCGGAAACTAGCACCCCCGACGGTGAAGCGGACTCACAGTCAGGCACACTGGCTCGCAGCACGCCCAGGAGGCAGGGGTTACCAGGACGGTGCCTTACAACGCGCACGCGGGCCCGGTTCGAAGGGGCGGGACGGCCTTGCTGACGCCGCGGAGCGGCCCACCCGCCCCCTCCACTCGGCCCCAGCGCGCTGGGTTACTAGCTCCCAATCCCTCCCTGGCCCGCTGCTCTCCGACCTCGCCGCCCCGCTCTCACGCGCCCTTAGCAGAGCTCGGGGCAGCTCCCAGGTGTCTCTGGGAACGGAGAGAAAGGCCACAAAGCAAGAGGAGCAAAGAAGGCGCGGAGGAGCAGGGCCCAGGGTCCTGTGGACTCGCCTGGAGGTGGTGGTGCACTGAGAGGCTAAGAAGGCTCCGGGGGTCGCGCGTGGCTTTGGGGCTCACCCCGCTCGTGGCTCCCCTTCCCGGCTCCCGGTTCCCTCTCACGGAAGTTCCTTTCTCCTCCCCTCGGGCCCTCTCCGCTCCGGCGCCGGGCTCAGTCCTGGGGATTAAGAGAAAGGAGGGAGGGGGAAAAGGGAGGAGAAGGGAAAGGGAGGAGGAGAAAAGAGGACGCTCTCTCCAAAGGCGGGTGTTGAGTTTCAGCTCCGGACCCTCGGGCCAAACTGCACGCCCCCTCCCGGCCCTCTCCCCGGCGCCTTCTACCTTCCGACGTCGCGGCGGACGCCCCCACCCGGCAGTCTGGTGCGCTCACTCCTGGAGGTCACGGCTCCCCACCACGCCTCCGCCACCGACAGCCCCGCGCCTCTCGGCGTCCTTTTCATTAGCCCCCCATCTGTCTTTCCCATGCAAGGAAGGGAGCGCGCCTTTCGCCTTTCTGGGATCCTCAGCGGAGCTTCCCTTGGTAGGGTTATCGGGGGCTGGACAGGGATTCTGGCCCTAGAGAGGGAGTGTGAAGCCTGAGCGTCTAGTCCCAGAGCTGCGGGCCGAGCGGGTTGTGCCGCCTCTTACACGAGTCTCTGCCAGTCTGGGCCTGTCCCCCGCCCGCCCTCACGCTGGCTCAGTCCTGCTGCCGCGCGGAGCAGGAGTCGGGACTGTGGGCACAAAAGAGCAGAACTCTTCCCGAGTCCCCACACCTCTCCTGCCAAATTATTACTCCTTGATGTGCGCTGCCCCCAGCCAGCAACCCTCTCTCCTGGTTCTTGTTTTTGGGGCACATATCATGGCCTCGCAGAGTCTGGAAGGAAGGCTTTTCTTTCTTCCGTTTCCGAGGGTCCTGGTATAACTGAAAAATTCATCAAAATCAACTTGAAAAAATAAATACAGAGTTTTATTTCAGCCAGAATTCAGACCTAGACCTGGAAAGATAACACTCCTATAGGTGGGGTAGAGATATATTCTAAAGAGCTCAGGCCATACAGGTTTTTATATCCTGGAGGAGGCAGACAAGACCATGTCAGAGGGGTACATTTCATTCACATAAGCTATATAAAGAAAAGAGTTGGGGCAGTACATGTCCTGGCCGGCATCTGAAGAAGGAAATTAAGGGGAAAGGTAAGCATTTTGCTTATCCTTTAACAGGAATGCGGATACAAATTGTTAAGCCTTTAAATTAGCTGGTGGCTTTTAGTTTTTCCATGGATGGCCATTTTGGGACTCCCAGAGTTAATGAACCTTCAATGTTTAGGGCTTAGAGATCTTTTTGGTGGTCCCTAGTATAGTGGTCAGCTTTTCTTTATTTCACACTGATACTTAAAAAGCGAGATGCCAAACAGGGTTGAAAAGCTGTAGTATTTTTTCAGTGTTTGCATTTAAAAAATGAACAATTCAAACATAAAATAGAAAATGACTCTATGTATAACCTCATTTGGAGATAATATCAGAAGTCTAATTTAAGGTCCTTTGTGAACCTGAGGTGTTCACTCTTCCCCTCCCTACATTCCATAGGCCCCCACATCCAGGCATTTCCCAGGACAGGAGAGGGGACTACCTGCCCTGGCTTCCTTCCTTCCCTGTTGCCTAGGCGCTTCGGAAGAACCCTCTGCGGAGGGGAGGAGTGCAACCCTTGGGTGATCAGGGAGAGATTCTGGGGTGAACATGGGGATAGATAACATTGGTTCAGGGCTTGGCTCAGAAATGGGGTACAGATCTGGGCCTGGAACTGATCCTGAATAGACTTAGACTCCGTTAGGATAGCAGAGGAACTTTTAAATTTCCAGATGTATCTGAAGGGAGATGTCCCTCATTCTTACTCCAACCTGGTCTAACCTCTTCTAGACCCCAGCCCTAGGGGCTTGGCTGCCTGGAACACAGACAATCAGCTGCTGGGGAGTGACATGCTATGATTTCTGTCCAGGATATTACCAAGGAAAATTTTGGTTCCCAAAATGGAGGTGGTCAGGAAACCCAGTTCCCAACAGATGAACACTCTGACTGGCACAAGAGGAAACAGATGGAGGCCAGAAAAGGCTAAGCAGGAAAGGAGTGCTAGGCCCAGGCACCATGGTAGTATGGGAGGTGGGCAGTGGGGTTCACTGCCCATAGCTCAGTGCCTGGGGAAGTGTAGGTGAGGAGGAGCAGAGTGTGAACCTGCAGGAGAAGTAAGACTGTTGTTCTGGAGTGCCCAGACGCAGAATGGAGCCATACTTGGAAGTGAACCCTGATTGATTAGCTGTGTGACCTTAGTCAAGTTGTATCACACCTCGAGTCTGAGTTCCTCGTCTGTACCAGTGACTTTGGTGAGGAGTAAATACCTGTTAAGTGCCTTCCACAAAGCTCTCTTTCCAGGGCTTTCCTCACCTTGGTTCCTCTGGCCCCTCAACCTGTGCTCCCATAAAAGCTGCAAGTGTTTCTTTGTTGAGGGCAGGAGGAGTCTTTTCCCAGTCCTTATGCCTCCTCTCTGTCCTCTCCTTTGCAGAGTGTTTGGGTGATTTGAACTTGTTCTGGGAGAGCTCTGGGTTCCAGGTAAGGTTGGAGAAAACTGAGGCTGGACAGGTGGACCTTGGGCAGGTGGCAGCTCCAGGCAGCTGGGCCCTCAGTTTCAGGCTTGTCCTTGCCATATTCCTGGGATAGAGAGGAGGATCCCTTGCATCTGGCTCAGTGGGCTGCATCTTCTCTCCTCTTCGTAGCAGGGCCAACCAGCTGGCCTCTTCCTCATCCCATCCCATGACTTCCTTGACCTGCACTTGTTTCTCCTGCTACTCAGAACTCAGGTGCTCACAAATTCTTCCAGTTCTTCTCTCTTTGGGCCACACAGCACCCAGATTGCCTGGATTCTAGTCCTGGTTCCAACACTGACTAGTGACCTTGGCAGGCTACTTGACCTCTTAGAGCCTCTGATTCTCTGTCTGTAAAGTGGGGTCATAATGGAACCAATAGCACTGACTTGTTGTGAGGAATCCTGAGGCCCATGCTTGCCTGGCCCATGGTGTATAAATTTGGGTAAAAGCAACTGTTGTGATTATTTGATGCTGGCCCTGTGGGGCAGCAGAATGTCAAGGACATGGTGCCTGCCTTCCAGAAACTCACATCTTGTAGGTCATGTTGAAGCCAGTCAGTACCTTCCCACTGACCTCAGAATAAAATCCAAATACTCCACAGCCTGTAAGACCCTATGTGATCTGGTCCCTGCCTCCTCCTCACCTCATTTCCTCCCACTCTCCCCCTTATCATCTGTTTTCCATCCACACTGTCCTTTCTGTTTCACATATTCCTGGCTCTTTCCCACCTCTAGGACTCTGAATGTCCCACTCCCTCTGCCTAGACCACTGTTCCCCCAGATGCTTTCCATCATCGTGCCAAACTCTGCACCCTCAGAGAGGCCTTCCTTGGCTTTCCAAGTTAAAGCTGCCCCATTACCCCCAGTAATTCCCTACCTCAGAGCACTGTTTCATTTTCTTCATAGGATTTATTATTATCAGAGATTATCTTGTTTCCCTGTTTATCATCTGTCTCCTCCTAAAATTTAAGCTTCACAAGGCAGGGACCTTATCTGGATTGTCCTCCTCTGCATTCCTAGCATTTAAAATAGTGCCTAGTGTATAGTAGGTGTTCAATAACTATTTGAGAAGTAGATGAATGAACAAGGGCAGCCATGACTGTAGGACAAAGCTGAGTAAGCCCAGGTACCTCTGTGGGGACACACCAATGCCAGCCTGGGTGAGGGAGTTGTGGGGCTTCTTGTCCAGTGCACTGATTCTCCACATGTCTCCCAGGCCAGACTGGATTCTCTTTGAAGGCAGGCTCCTGAGCCTAAGCATTTCTGTAACCAAAGGTGATATGACAAATAACTGACTACCAACAGTACCAACATCACCTACCAATCAGGACATGGGTGCAGTATAGTGGGCACCCCAATCTTAGCCAGGGGTTCACCCTTTAGCTGCTTGATCATGGGGAGGTTGTGGTAGTGGGGAGCCCCAGGGCTGAGGACAACATCTACTTACCAGCAGAGACAGAAGTACTTGAGCAATTTAGCCACCAGGATCCCCCCTCACATCAGACTTTCACAGCCCTGCTGAGTCCTGTGGCTTCAGCACTATTTCAGGGGCTGAGCTGGTTGGCACTTTTGTGGGTATCCAGGTTACCCCCTACCCTTCAACTCACAAAAAGGCCAAACCACACACACTTTTGTAAATGGGGAGAAAGGACCAGAGGGGGCCCAAGGTCAAGAGTTGATTTGAGGCAGGGTAAGGACTCTAGGGCAGCAGGTGTGGATTTGAATGACTTTCTGAGAAAGGGCAGCACAGCTATATTCTAGCTTCCTGCAAACTCCAAGAGCCTTCTCTGGCCGAGGATGACAGTGTATTCCATGACATCTGTCCTGCCTTTCCTTACTAGGTTTAGATCTGTCTTCCCAGGGGCTCAGGGGTAGGACTCCCAGCAAGTCCCCTCTAGCTGCAAGGTCAGGCCCAGGCAGGTGAGGACTCCCTGGGAGGTACCCTTGATGTCAGGTGCTGCTCCAACTTCCCTTTGCTTCCACCTCCAGCATTCTTCCCATTGCCACTTGCATTTCCCCACACCCCCAAGGATTCCCTGGAAGCTGAAGTGACTCAGGAATTCCAAAACTAGTCACCCCAGGAGGAAACCCCTTTGGAAAATGTTTCTCACAGCAGGGGAGTCACCCTAAGGAGTCCCACAGAGCTACTACTGAGATAAGGGCAGAGACTGAGCAAACGGGTGGGGGGTGGGGGCTGGACCCAAGAAATTGTGCTCAACACAGTGGGGAAGGCCAACCCTGGGGGAGAATGCCCTCAGAGGAGGTCCTGGTGCAGAGGCAGGGGGCTGTGCCAAAGGCCTCTCCTGAAGAGCAGTGTCCTGGGCAACCAATGTGGGTCCTTTGCAGCAACAGCAGATGAAAGAAGTAGCTGGGGTCATTTCTAACTCTTACGAGCACCCTCTCCTGGACAAGGGCCAAGATCAGAAGATCTGGGCCAATGTCAGGCTCTGAGGCTCTGATTGGTTTGGGGACACCCATAGGGATCCAACTTTCCTGGAAGAGCACTGCTCCCTTAGAGCTTTTCTGGGGTTAGGGATTGCTCAGGAACCCCAAAAACTACCCTGGGGGCCATATGCCAGACCAAAGACTGGGGAATAGGAAGGTGGATTTGTGGATCCCAGCCAGCAGAGCTGAATGCTTGAGTGGGCAGGAATGCCCTGTAGGCTCAGAGGAGACCTGGCCCAGCTCAAACCCAGGTGGGTAGGAAATCACTCACTGAGGGGGGTTTCCTTCCATTTGCAGTCAGCTGGGATCATCCCAGTGTGGCCCCTCCAGACCAGGGGCTTAGATTTGTAGTTGGTCAAGGCTGGAGCCGAAAACCAGCTCTGCCTCTACCTAACTGTGTGACCTTGGAGAGGTCACTAAATCCCTTTGGATCTTATCCGTGATATGGAGATAATGGTTTCCATCTCATGGTATTATTGTAAGGATAAAATGAGCTGATGCATGTCCTGCGCCACCATCCTGCACCTAATATATGGGAACTGAGGCCAGTGGAGTGTAGAAGTGAGAGGGTGTTCAGGAGCACAGGTGCAGGAAATGGGGCAGCAGGAGCAGAGGAAGGTATCCCTGGCCTCAGTGCTCAAGTGCCCCTGCTCTCCCAGCCACCACCTGTTTCCCCTGCACCTCCACCGCACCCCGAGTCCCCTACTCCCTGAAACTCCTCAGGTTTCCTCAGGCAGTTTCTCCATTTCTCCAGAATGTCTCCTGACCTCATGACTCCTCTTCTTTGAGGATTCTTTGCTCTAAAGAATTCAAAGGATTCTTCCTCCCTCTGCAGTTTAAGCTATTCCTGGTTCCCTGTGTTTATTTTCCTTGGTTACCTGAGGGGTATTTTCTAAGGGAAAGCACATGCAAATCAGGAAATATCATTCTAGAGACAATGTCTGTGTATGAGTGTGTTGGGGTGGGGGATCGTGGGTGTGGATGATGAGGGAGGTCGATGGGCAAAGATGAGAGAAAAAGCTTGGAGGGAAGTAGGCTCTGGCCTGCTCTCAGTGCCTCCCACGCAGGGTGGCTCCCAGCTGACCCATGTCTTTGGGGTCAGGCCCAGCTCAAGCCTTTCCAGAACACATATACCCCTCCTGGCCCGCAGTGGCCCATGTTGCTAAGGGCTGAGGTGTGATGGGCTTACCCTAAGGCCTGAGAGCAGCTGCTACCCCTGCCATGGCCCTTGTCCCCAGGGCTGTGTGGGCGGGGGTGAGGGCAGGCTGGTCCTGGAGCTGGGACCTCCTGGTACACCTTAGGTGAGGCTGTTACTGTGCCCCTCCCCTTCCTGGCTTCACCTTCTCATTTGTGCAGTGGGAACATCTTCTTCTATCAGACCCTGCACATCCAGGTGACCGGCCGATGGGACCAGGGCCTTCCTCGCAGTCCTGTGGGGTTATGCCTATATCCCTAGCCCAGAGTTGGTCAGGAAGAGGGTAGAATGAGGGGTGGGGGGGCCACTGGAGAAGGTGAGAGCCAGTTAGGGAGTGGGTAATGGACAATGGGAAAGAAGCCATAGTGATGGGGATCATAGAACTGGGATCATTGGCAATGAGGAAGGGGTCAGAAAATAGGAGGGTTGAGGGTCAGAGTAGATAGAGGAGAAATGTTCCCACTCACTGAGGTGGGTAGTCAGGAGGATGTCTGGGAAAGAAAGGAATGGTGGGGATAAGACCATGGGTGGGAACTACAGAGATCATGGAAATGAGGCCTCTTGAAGAGAGGCCAGATGATGTTCCCTAATTTGGGGGATCAAGCCAAACAGGGAAATGCCCATAATGCCATTTCTCAAACTCTCAGAGCAACAGAATGCTATTGCTTGGACCTCACACCGAGAGAAGTACAGAAAACACAGTTTACCCAATAGGCCACCAGGCTGACAATAATGTTAATCACAACTTCCATGAGCCTAGTGTTTTAAGTGGCTTTTGGAAAACACTCTGGGTTTTTTGGTCTGGTTTTGTTTTTTAATCTGAGGTCACTCCCTACAAAAGGTAGTGGAAATAAATTTGAATAAATTTGAATAAACAAAACAGGTTTGCTGAAAATAAAACCAGGACTTCTAAACTGCTCCAGTCAGCCTGCTTCCAAAGGCCCCACCTGTCAGCCAGTGCAGAGCCATGGCTGGGCAAGCAGCATCCAGCTTGGGCCAGGTGAGTGTGCGGAGGCCTGAACAGGAAAGGAGTAGAGATGTTGCTGAGGGTGGAGGGAGGCCGAGCTTCCAGGTTTGTGGCTGGGGACCAGTTAGAGCTGGAAACCAGGCTCTCAGGGAAGAGCTGGGGGAGGGGCACCCAGGTTAGGTGAGAGCAGATCTCCCGCTGGCCCTTTCCTACAGGTGGTCACATTCTTGGCAACGGTCATGGGGGCCCACACCCTCAGTTTGAGGCTCCAGAAGGACTGTGCCCACTGGCCCAAATGCTGCCCCAGTGAAGGACAGGACCTCACTGAGGAGTGGCTGAAGTGGGATACTGTGCTCACACCTCCCCCGAAGACCCATAGCCTCGCCCACCACCTGGAATCCTGCAAGGCCAGTGAAGAGGGACCCCTCAGCAGCAGGTCCATCTCCCCCTGGACATATGAGTGAGTCTGCTGTCCCCTCCTGAATGCCTGCCCATGTGCCAATCAGGGTGTGTGCAAGGGCCACAGGCAGTCCACCCAATTCCAGCTTACCTGCCCCTTCTAATCTCAGAGAGGCCATGAAGGTTTGGGTGTTAGGGAAGGCCTATTCTGGGTCCTGGCTCTGACTCTTATTGGGTGATTGGCCAATTACTTGGGTTAATTACTCAGGGTTTCAAAGCTCAGTTTTTCTCATTTACCTGTGAGGTAAAATGAGATAATACCCAATAGGCTAATGTGTAGATCATACAAAGTAACATATGTAAAATCTGCACTTAATGCAGAAAATGCTGGTTCTCTCCTTTTCCTCTCTTCTCCCTCCTTCTCCTTCTCCTGCTTCTGTCCCTTCAGTGGGACATCTTTTTCTAACTAAAATTTCAGGGACTAATGTTATGCTACAGACACAAAACATTCCAACACCAAATGCTGCTGGCCTGGCCCAGGAATGGGTTATAAGTACACTGAATGAAAACCTCAACTTTGGTCGGGGGCAGTGAGTGGCTGGAGGCCTGGGCTGGTTATCTTTGATCATAAGAAGTCTTGTTTTCTCACTCAGTGTGCCACACAAATATTAGAATTATCTATTTGTCCGTGATGTAAAAACATTTGGAAGCACTGAAATTGAGACAATGAAGCAATAACATTAAAAGTTAGGGCCTTAGGGGTACCAAACATATGTCTCCTTCTACCTGTGTCTGCACAGGGTGTCTGTGTTCCTGTTCCCTGTGAGTCTTGTCCTGGCTTAGCTTTGGCTTTTGGGATGGATGGAGAAGTTCAGTGGGTAGGGAGGGGCCCTAACTTTGACTGAGATTAGATCCAGGGTGGAGAGTCCAGGTCACTAAGCTTATGATGTGGTATCGGAAGATGGGCTGGATCCTGGGCTAAAACCAGGGAGGAGGGAGCTCTTTTGGAGAAGCTGGGTGCCAGATGGCTGAATGGGCTGGGGTCCAGATCCCCACTGGGAGGCTGTGAACTCCTGATGACCACTCTGTTGGTCTTCCCCAAAGTGTGTTCTTTGCAACACTTGTTCTGCAAGCTGCTCCCTAGCAAAAAGCAATTATATCAACTCAGTGTGGGAAAAGCTGCCCCGACCCTGACCTCTGGGTATTCACAATGTGCTCAGCACATTAAAGTCTACAAGAAGTTCTCAGAAAGCATTAAACTCAGCATTTCCTAAACTCAGATCCCTTTTCTTGTAGGGTATACTTATTAGGGAACCCACTTTGGAAACTGCTGAGCTACTTGAGCCCAGGTTGTGAGGGCTACTCTGTATGGAGAATGGTCGCATAGCCTTGTGCCTGTTTGCTGCTAGCCTTTGGGAGTCCAAGATCATTGGAGCATCTACTTTTCAAGTCTGTTTTTTTTTTTTGGCCATGAAGTCCTTTCAGAGTAAATAAATAAGTCTTACCATGCACTCTTACTTATGTCCGTAATATATGCATGGCAAGTGTCTGGAAGGATGTTCAGGAAAGTGTTGAGTGGATTCCCTCTGGGGAGTGAGACTCAGGGAGAGCAGACTGTTAGTCTTTCCTTTATACACTTTAATAATTGAATGTAAGGGTAGTCTTTACTTTTGTTATTAAAAAACTAAGAATGTAATAGTGATTACAAAAAGAAACATCATGCCAGAGTCCAGCATGTATGTCAGATGGAGGCACGCACGGGAGGCTGCTCACCTTCCCCTGCCTCCCTGAGGCTCCCAGGACCAGCTGGGGAGCCACTCACTCTTCCATCCCACCCTGCACTTACAGCTGGGGAGAATAAATCCCAGAGAGGAGGGGGTGACTTATTCAAAGTGACATAACAAGTAGGGGCCAGAGCCAGGATCAGAGCACAGCATCGGCCCGCCTTCCATTTCCTTCCTCTGGCATTTCCACCCTGTACCCTCCCTGCTTCTGGTCCTTGTCTGCCCGGCCAGCTGCCCTCCGGGTCCTGACGAGTGCCACCTCCACAGGTTGGACAGGGACCTGAACCGGTTCCCCCAGGACCTGTACCACGCCCGCTGCCTGTGTCCACACTGCGTCAACCTACAGACTGGCTCCCACATGGACCCCCTGGGCAACTCAGAGCTGCTCTACCACAACCAGACTGTCTTCTACCGGCGGCCATGCCCTGGAGAGAAAGATGGCTACTGCCTGGAACGCAGGTTCTACAGAGTATCCTTGGCTTGTGTGTGTGTGCGGCCCCGAGTGATGGCCTAGGTGTGCCACCCATGGCCAGTCCCTGGTCAGAACACTGGAGCCGGGTGTACAACCACCTGCCGCCATGAACCAGGATGCCTGAATGTTCAGCCCCTCCAAAGACTACGCCTCCAAGCAAGACGGGAGACTTTTGGGGGAACCACACATTGCACTTTTGGGAGTGGATGGGAAAGGCAGGGCAAAGCAAGGGGAGCCTATGGCTGCTGGAAGCTGCCATCTTGACACTTCCTTTCAGGAAAGGTCTTCAAAGCTCTGCCTATTTCTGTAAGCCACTCCCCACCCTTCCTTTACTCCCATTCCCGCTGCCCTGGCAGAGCACAGGCACTTTCTTGATGTTTTCCCCTTTGCCATGGAAAGCTTCTCATTTCACTTGTTTGTTGGATCATCAAACACTTGGTAAGCGTCTACTTTGCACACATCCTGCTGGAGTTACTAGTCTTTTGACATGGGTGACTCTGAGGAAAAGGCTGTTATTGAGCACAGATAGACTTATCCAAATAAATAATCTGAATTTAAAAGTGGCCTAATTTGTCATTGACATTCCTGGTGCCTGAACATCTTGCGGCTCCCAGCCCCGTTCCTTTTCCTCCCCTCTGCCCTCCCCCTCTGCCTCCCAGAGCTGCTGCTGCAGCCTCCCATTCCTCCCCTTCTCTGGCTCCTTGGCCCACCCCTGAACACCAGGATGGGGGTCAGGCTGCCCTCCTGGCATGCTAGAGAGACAGAAGCCCATTGAGGCACTGCAGCAGGCACACAGCGCCCCCTTGTCCCCCCAACAGTCTGCCTTTGTCCTTAGTCTTGGCTGCTACAGTCTGGTCTGGGGGGTGCTGCCTGGGCCGGGCTCCAGCTCCCACCCTCCCTAAAAGGAAAGGGGAGAAAGGACAAGCCAGGGAGAGGGCTTAGGTTAGGGGCGGGGGGACACAGACTTCTTCAGGCGTAGGTCCTTGGGGGTCTCCTGGTCCAGCCTGGTTTCCCAGCTTCCCCTCTGGCTCCTCTGCTGGCCTCCCCACTTCCTCCTCTCTCCTGGGGATGGGTTGGGATCCGAGTAAGGAGAGTGTTGACCACGCCTCCTCTGTTGGCCCCTCCCCCACCCGTGGGCCTCCTGGGGGGTTGGCGCGGCTGCTGCAGGGGGCACTCTGGGCAGCTGGGTGAAGTTCCAGCCTGCCAGCCTCCCCCTGACAGCCCCAGGGCAGGTCTGCCCACCTCACTTGCAGGTTTCTTGTACTGCTCTCCTGCTGTTGTCTGCTGCCCCATCCCGCCAGGTTTCTGTCCTCCCTCTTCCCTTCCGGGGCTGGTGGCGGTGGGGGGCTGTGCCTGGTGGGCCCTGCGGAGATGCTCAATGCCCGGGATCGTCGGGACTGGCCCCCTGAAGAGGGGGCAGCTGCGGGGCTCCAGGGCTTCACGGTGGAAAAGACCTTCTTCTCCTCCCTCAAAGGCATCCTTCTGGAAACTGAGCTGGTAATGGCTGCTTCCCCACCCTGGTGCCTCCCTCTCTCCCAGTATGACCCCCTTTCCCCCAGCTTTCTCCTGTGCCCCTCACCAGTCTCCCTTTCCAGGCTTCTGGACGCCTCTGCTGCCCCCAGCTGCCCTGCCCTCCCTTCCCCTGCCTTCTTGCTGCCTCTCCAGCTGAAAGCAGGTGCAGCTGCAGCAGGAAGGATTGAAGTTAGACTGGACAGCTTTCTGGGACACTGAGGGAGTGCCAGACACAGGGGTCGGATAGGGGCAAAGCCAGCCTGTCTCTCCCCAGGCTCTGAGATGGCCATTTCTTAGCATGGCCATGTTCATCTAACAAAAAGGGCGGACTCACTGCAGCCCCACTTTATCTGTTGTCTGCCCCTCATGAACATCTAATCTCAGGAAAGGATTTTCCCATGTCACTTAGCAAGAACTTAGTGTATACTTAAGTCTTCTGCATAATGCCACCCTGTGACACCAGAACTGAAGGGACCCTGTCCCTAGTCCACTGTGGAGTATCTGCCTCCTAAGCTTTGTGTCTTGGTGTGGAACCAAAGGCTCTGGTCCTTGCTAGAGGGGTTGCAGGCATCTGGGAGTGGGGAAAGTATTATGAGGCAGGGCTCAGGGCTGCTGCGGGCATGACTCCAGGGGCTGGTGTTCCCATTGTACTCTGTGCTTCAACGGGTCCCCTGAGGGGCATTCCTGGAGCTGTGTACCTTGGCTAAATGTCTGGGGCTGATGGAATCTTGGGGCAGGGGGCAGCCTGGGCTAGCAGAGGTGGGAGGCTGGAGACTGTTCTCAATGGGCAAATGCTCTGGTATGAGGCTCCTGTCACAGGGGACGGGGAGACCTCCAGGGACAGGTGGTGGGGGTCAGAGGAACTCCCGAGGAGGGGAAAGCAAAGGCCTGGATGTGCCCATGTCCCCTTCTTGGTCAGCTCCAAACGCTCGGTCCTGCAGGCCCTGACCTTCATTATCTTCATCTGCTTCACGGCCTCCATCTCTGCCTACATGGCAGCGGCGCTGCTGGAGTTCTTCATCACGCTCGCCTTCCTCTTCCTCTACGCTACCCAGTACTACCAGCGCTTCGGGCGGCTGAACTGGCCCTGTCTGGTGAGAGACCCTGCTGTCCCCACCCCATTATGACTCCTTTTTCCTTCACTGAATGTTGAGTTTCCTTTTTGCCCCCAGCCTCTTTCCTTTTCCTGGGTCAGTAGGGGGGCCCACACCTGAGCCAAGCTCTGCTGCTTTGACCCACACTGATTTCACAGCCCCACGGTGAACCGGGGCTCACTGACAATGGGGACTAGGATGCACATAGCTTAGATCTACTCTCCTGCTCACCAAGGGCCCAGCCCTGCCCCCCCCCCACCCCCGCCCCACCTCAGCTTCTCTTCTGGTCACTCTGCATTCATGGGCATCCCTTCCAGGTAGCTGTGTGATCTCCCTCTCTTCCCCACCCCTGGCTCCCCTCTCAAGTGCTTTCTGTGTGTCCAGGGATCTCTCCATGTAGGGATTCACAGTGACTAAGGGTCAAGCCACTGACTAGCCTGGACAACTTAGGGTGATACCCCTGACCTCTGACTTCACTTTGACCCTGTATCCCTATCCCCCAGGACTTCCTTCGCTGTGTCAGTGCTATCATCATCTTCCTGGTGGTCTCCTTTGCAGCCGTGACCTCCCGGGATGGAGCTGCCATTGCTGCTTTTGTGAGTGCGGCCCCGCAGAGCTCACCAGCTCCAAGCACTCTGGCTGGTGGTTGCATACTTTCTGTGCCTCCCCCAAGCCAGGCCAGTGCCTTTGGTTCTGGCTCAGACCATGCCTAGTGCCACCCACCTCCGTCTCCCTAATATCTGAAGGCCCAATGGCCTTTGTTATGCCATCTCTGCTCTTACTCCCTCAGGTTTTTGGCATCATCCTGGCTTCTGTCTTTGCCTACGATGCCTTCAAGATCTACCAGACTGAGATGGCACCCAGGGCCACCCAGGGTGAGTGCTTGTGCTCTGGGGAGAAGAGACACTCCTTCCAGCCCCAGCCCTGGCTACCCCATCCTGACATGCCCTTTCCTGCCCCACTCCATCTTCACAGGGGACCAGCAGTGACCCAAGAGCTGCCTGGATCCTGGGCCCAGCCAGACCTCCTCTGGCTTCACTACCCCCAATGCCATTGTCCCCTCCCCTGCCCTCAGAGATGGATCCTGGCCTGAGAAGTCACAGGGAACTTGTTTGTGGGGTCTGGTGCTCTGAGAGCTGGCTCCTGATGAAGCTTGGCTAGGAAGGAGGTGCTATGGGGGGCAGAAGCAAGCCATTCATTCCCAAATTAAAAGATTTGAATACTATTGGTAAGTCTTTTTCTTCCCCAGAAATTAGGCTGACCAGGAAAGCCAAGAAGCATTCATGGAAATGCTGCCTATGCAGGTCATGGTCCCTTCTCTGGGGCCAGGTCTGAGCAATGAGGAAGCAGGGGCTAGACTGAAGGTGCTGAAGACATCCTTCAACACAGAGCTTCCACGCCACAGCCTTCTGTGTACAAGGCCGCTTTGGGGTGTGCCTGCTGTCTGGGCTCCTGGAGTTCTGTGTGAGAAGACAGACACCTCCCCAGTGTGAACAGGTGCCTGCACACTGGTGGGTCAGCTTGTGTGAGGCAGACCGCGTGCCTGGGGCATGTGCAGAATTCCCCCTTGTGGTATGGGGTGGACTTGGCCCTCAGGCCACAGGAGAGAGGTCAGCTTGTGGCATCAGTTGAGGGCAGTTTCCAAATGTTGGTGCTGGAAGGGCCCTTAGACTTCTGCCGGTCCAATACCCTCATTTCACATAGCAGAAAACAGGCCCAGTTAGGGGAAGTGACTTCCTTATTTGTGACAGAGCTAGGGCTACAACCCAGCTCTCCTAACATCCAAAAAGGTGTTCAGGATACTGCATTAAGCCCCTTGGAGCTCAGAAAAAAGAGTCCCAGCCTTATCTCCACCCTTACCACCAGTTGGTCCACCTTCCCAGCTTGCCAGCACCTCAGCAAACATGTCCTGAGCATCTCCCATGCACAGACCCTGTGCTGGGCCCCAGGCAGTCAGAAGTGACAGACAGGGCTGTTCTTGAGGAAGGAGACCTGTTAGTGAAGGATGGTTATGACTGTCCACCATGAGCGCTATGGGAGAGCTCAGCTCAGGGTCGGGGGACCAGGCACTGCTGCAGCCAAGGAATCAGCCCTACCCTGCCCAGGACAGTCCAGTGGCTGGGGCATCCCTGCCCAGCCCCACAGAGCCCAGACCCGTAGGACCCAATGTGGCCTTGCTATCCCCTCTCTCTAGTGCTTATTTGTTCCTGCCCTGAAATACCTTCCTTCTTTTTCTGGGGTGCTCCTTCCCACCCTGCCCGAACTCTGAACTCTGGAACTCTGGGAGACTTCCTCTCTTCCCCCTACTGATAAGCACGGGTTTCTCTTGGCCCTACTTTTCCTGCCCCTGCTTTTTGTTCTGTCCTTATGTCCTGGCTCCTCACCATGGCTGGCAGCCTCTCCAGGACTAGAGTCAACTGGAGTTTGTGTTTCTTTGGTTTCTGATTACAATTCTCAGGGCTTTATGTACAGTCCATTCTTAAAACTGACCAACCTTGGGGTATCTGGAGTCAAGGCCTCAGAGGAGGGATAGAAGGTCTTAGTCAGGGGAGGCCAGGAGACAGGATGTCAGGTGAAAGGAAGGGAAAGTGGACAGGAGAGCCTGGTGGTAAAGCCCAGCAGGGGTCAGGGATTTGCTTAGAGCAGAATGGAGCCAGGATCAGCCCTGCCCCCTGAGCAGCTGTGTGACCTGGGCTGCACTGTCCTTGTGGGAGTTCAGAGAAGTGTGATCGATGGTGTGTACCTGCACATACACGCATGCTCGCCAGTGTCTGGAGAGAGGTCAGAAGGAAACAGGCAATGCCCAGCCTTGGTCCACAGTGCATGTTGGTTTGGGCTCAGTGTCAGTGGGCCCCGGGGTCTCAGGACACCCTCATGGTGAGGCGCAGACTCACAGAAGCTGGGGTTAGACCTGGGCCCCAGCCGACTCCCTGGGGATGACAGGGAGGGGCTGACCAGAATGGGACCTGTGCCAACCCCTTTGTCTGCACCTCCATCCCCAGCCAGCCTTGAGCCTCTGCTGGCATCTCTTGGAAATTCCCTTAAAGGGAAGAGGTGCTCTAGGACACCTCAGGGGTTGGGGAGGGAGAGCACAGCTAGAGCGCTAAGACTCTGTCTCCTGGCATATGGAACTGGCTTACCCTTCTGTGCCTTTGTTTTCTCCACTTTTGAAATGTCTCCCTCTCTTCCCTCATATGGTTGACTGAGCAGAACGGGGAGTTGTGGCTGTGCTGCCTTGGAGGACACCTCCCTCTGTGGGCCCTGGTTTCCTCCTCTCCAGCTGGGGGATGCTTGGCTCCCATAGCTCTGACACAGGACAGGGGCCACACCCTCTCAGGAGCTTCAGGACAGCTGCTGGCTGGCGGCGGGAAGGACAGGGGTTCAGGCAGCCTGGCACTCACATTTATTAGGGCTTAACAGGAGTGGGAGTCCGGAGGCAGTGTCACTCCTCATCATGCATTTTCTGCTGAGAAAGGAATAAACGGTGTGAGGTACAGCTGGCAAAGGGGAAGAAGGGTGTGGGGAGGAATCTCTACAGCTTTCAGTGGCCCAAGGGAGATGCCCTTAAAGGGAGAGTTTCTGGCTTCAGGGAGCATGGGATCCCTTTTAGGGGTCCTTTGGTTTAGGGGGATGGGATTGGACTTTCTGCAGTGGTAAGGGGCTCTCAGAGCAGCAGGAGGGGATTCTCACACAGGGGTGCTGTGGGACGTTCAGGGCTGCCCAATTATAGGGTAAGAAGTGCTCTCTTAGATGGGCACTGATGTTAGGGGCGTACTGCTGTCAGGGCAACTAGTAAGGCCCCGAGGAGGGACCCACCTTGGCTCCAATGTCGCGGCTCTTGGCCCGCAGCTTGTTGACCTGGGACTCGGCGATGTCTGCCCGCTCCTCTGCCTCATCCAGCTCGTGCTGCACCTTGCGGAACTTGGACAGGTTGGTGTTGGCCTGCTCCTCCTGTGGGGGCCCAGGGGGTGAGGGGATAAGCGGGGGGGCTGAGGGCTCCCAGGCTCCTAGTCTAGGGAGCTCCTGTCCCTGAGCCAGGGGCATAGTGCCCTCACTATGTTCCTGCAGCAGCCTTGCCAAAGTGATCCTGCTCCTGGCTTGGCACCCTCCTCAGCTTGTCCGGCACTCAGAATCCTTCATAGCCACCTACTTCCCAAGGCGAGCCCCATGCCACCTGGTCCAGTCCTCCTTACAGTCCAGGTTCACTGTGCCTGTCTAACTGTGACCTGGTAGATGCCCCCAGCCTGGGCTTTTCTGCACAGGTGTGCTCATCAACCCCTCACATCCACACTTTTCTTCCCACCCCGATGTCTTCCCCACTGCACTGGCCTCTCTTCCAAGCCCAATTCCACTGCCCTCTTCCAGCCTTCAGCACTGTCTAGCCCCCTGGCCTGCATTAGCAGCTACCTTGCCATCTCTTGGACTTACTGGTACTTAGATTATAAGCAGCTGTGGGCAGGCCTTGGGTCAAATAGGCATTGCCCTCGTGAACTCAGAGTGTCTGACATAACTCTGAGCACATTGGACACATGGGAGAAATGGCCGAGAGTTGAAGTGAATAGCAAATGCTGTCTGGTCCCCAGGCTAGGGCAGACACTCACTGGTTCTCACACATAGGGCGTGTGTTGGTGAAAGAATGGAGAAAACCATGAACTCACCGCCTCCTCAGCCTGGCGCTTGTAGGCCTTGACTTTCAGCTGCAGCTTGTCCACCAGGTCCTGCAGCCGCAGAAGGTTCTTCCTGTCCTCCTCCGTCTGGGGATGGGTGGGTGGGAGAAGCCAGCTTTGAGGGAGACGTGAGGATGACCACCTTCTCCTCCCTCCCCATTCCACTCTCCTCCCTGTGCCTTAGCTGCCCCCGCCTCCAGTGAACCAGGTCCAAGAGGTGGTGGGGAGATTCCATCTCTGCTGCTACTTGTAGGTCAAAGGGCTATGGCAAGGTCCTCAGGCTGGGACCTAAAAACCCCTAAGGCTGGAAGAAAGGGGAGGGTTCAGAACCAAATACAATTCCTTTATCTGATAATATGGAGCCATTGGGGCTGTTCTAGCTCTGACATATATGTTTTTGGCCAGTGGTTCTTGAGTGACCAGAAAGGACTAATGAGGAAGACAGAAAGAAGGGGGTATTGTCATAGTCCAGATTGTTCTAACCTAGCATAACCCAATACTCTAATATACTGTACTTGGACAGATTTGGGGCACTGGGATCACTGGCTCCAATGTCACTTGGTCTTTCCTATCGCCACATCATTGTATGAGCTAGGTTGCAATTTCCCCTTATGTGTACAACACACCTGCAGCTCCACATCTTTATATCTTTCCTGCCACTCTCATGTACAGCTGTCAAATGAATCAATACCCCTTTTCTCTGTCTTTCTTGGGCAGGTCAAGGGCAAAAGCTCTGAACTATGCAGATGAAGGTCTTAGAATATTCTGAAGTCTTCTTTCTCTAAGGCCTTCTAGCTGTTGTCTCAGAAGTTCCACGTTCCTATCCCTGACTTTTATCCTTAAAGTGCCATATAATTGACATGGTAGCATGTCAGGGTATTTAAAAACCTGGGGAAATGCTGGTTAAAAGAATTTTCAGGAAGTAGAAGTAGATTTGCTAGAAAAATTAATGGACTCAAGCCAACTGACTCCAGAGAATGTGAAAGCAAATCAGTCTTAGCTTCTCAAGGAGCAGGTGCCAGGAATGGTAGGCAGCATTCCTGAAAGGCGGCTGTGTGGTCCAGGATATTGGGCTAGGGAAGTGTTTTCACATCCACTCCTGATTGCCTGGCACAGAGCAGCTGCTGGGCCCGCACCTGGTAGGTGAGCTCCTTGATGCGACGCTCACTCTTCCTCATGCCCTTGACCGACTCTGCGTTGCGCTTCTGCTGGGCCTCCAGCTCATTCTCCAGCTCCCGCACACGGGCCTCCAGTTTCTGTAGCTGCTTCTTGCCGCCCTTGAGGGCGATCTGCTCGGCCTCGTCCAGCCGGTGCTGCAGGTCCTTGATGGTCTGCTCCATGTTCTTCTTCATGCGCTCCAGGTGGGCACTGGTGTCCTGCTCCTTCTTCAGCTCCTCCGCCATCATGGCGGCCTGCGGGCAGGAGAGAGGTGACAGGTGGCCTGGCTGAGTCCTCACATGCTCACTGCCCAGGGCAAGGAGCCCCGGCCTGGAGCAGGAGAGCGGGCTGGGGACTCACATCCGTGATGGCCTTCTTGGCCTTCTCCTCTGCGTTCCTGCACTCC